CATGGGACCCTTTTATTTGAGTTGACTATTTTTAGCACATAGAAAAAGCGAAAGCACATTCTTCTGCCCATCATCTAGATTGCAAAACTTTTCATGATGTTTTTTCTCGCATGGGCAAGTCGTAGTATATCATGTTTTTCTGATGGACATGTATCATATCAATAGATTACTGAAGACAAAACTGTTGTATAAATTAAACACAACGCATATACTTGTATCGACAGTAATTGGTATCCATTCCAAAGGATTAAAGTGGATAACATTCTCAAAGTTTTTGTTTAATAGCTTTTGTTGCTTGACGCAATTTACGGGCAATATATTTGTTTGCGAACTATTACTTATGACACAAAACTTACTGGAGTTTGGATCATTCCTTTTCTCTGTTGACGAAGAGTTTTAACACATTCTAATACATCCACCTTACCAGTATCTTTGTACTGTTTTAAACAGTAGTCTATAGCTATATATGTACCAGTTCTACCAACACCAGCACTGCATTGGAAATGAAATTTATTTTATTTACACCTAGTCATGTTAGGAACTCACCTGCATCCGAACCTTCAATTATGAGCATCTTGTCAAAAGCATGTACTATCACGTGATAACATCTCTGGTTGTCCAATGCATGACCAACCTCCCCAATTTAAAACGGTGATAAATTCATCAATTTCTGGATCTTTTTTGGGTGCGGAATGTCAAGTTCACTAGTTTGGGACAGATTCGATTGCAAAAAACGCGCGTTAATGCTTTTAACGTGATGAACAATCCACCGCACAAGTAGTGGTACGATTTCGGTGAACGTTGTTCCGAGTTACTTCTCTCGAATTAGCCAAATCGCGACAAAATAGGCTTGTGGACCCGAAAGAAGAAATAGTTTGGATAATACTTGGTTTAGGTATGCATACTTATAATTTATTGTAGTCGTGAATGTATGTAATTTTTCAAGTTAAATCTACCTTCTTCATTTTGATATACAAATATTTTTGCACAGGTTACTTCCCTTTAAATGTTAAATTTGTTCAGCTCGGCATTTGCCATATATATGACAACTTGACACCTATAACTAATTTCATTTCGTTTTTTTCTTCTTCCGAGTGACAGGCGTCCCTTGATAGGTGCATTTGATATTTATCTATAACATCCTAATGGGCCGCATACTTTTCAGGTTCAGGAAGGAGCATTATTTCACCTTAGGCTGCATGAATTTGAGCTCCAATACAATTACTGTGGTAACTTTACTAATGGAAAAATGATGGGATAGAACTGTCTATTTTCA